TTTAAATTTCTCAGAGATGCATTCAAATTAAGATTGTAAATTGCTCTTATGGCCCTCTTTTGCAAAATAAATATTGTTTCAACATCGGCTGCATACCCCCATAGCAAAATACCGTATGACACTATGCTATGGAAATAACTAAAATAAACGATTCTAGCTGTATTTACATCAGTCAGACATCTTATTTTTCTTACAGCATATGCTGTAGAACTTAGTCTGCTAGCAAGTTTGGATATATGGGGGCCCCATTGAAGCTTTGAATCAAGAGCTATTCCTAGAAAAACAGTGGTCAAACACATCTCAAATAGTCTCAACAACGCCGAGCATGTATCTAATAAATCTCCAATAAAGATTTTAACAAATTCTTATCATTCGTTTAGTAATTTCCGGTTCCTATATTCAACGAAAGGCCGTTAGTTACATAGCGTCATAACTTTCGTAACGACTTGTAGATAAAAGACGTGTACGCCCGGTTCCTTTATTAACAAAACGAGGCGTTTTCCTAACGAGCCGTTGTATTACCTACGGAAAGTGAGTTACTAGCGTACCTTTAATCTACAAGTCCTTATGAAAGTTACTAAGATATGTAACTAACGGCCGTTCGTTGAATATAGGAACCGGACAATAGTGAGGTAACCGGGCCCGCTTTTTCGCTTTTCTTAAAGGTTGGCAACGCATCTGTAACCCCCTCAGTTATCGAAAATGTACATCGGCGATGGTGACTGTTTAACATCAGGAGAACAGTCTGCTCCCTTGACAACTTTTTGTATAAAATAAAGGCCTTATCTCATCCGTATATTATTAATACAGTAAATGCTAAATTATTACTCATCATCGTCAAACCAGAAATGCTAACAATACCACTCAACCTTACATAAAACGTAAATACGAAAGTATGTGTGCTAGTAAGACACTACGCTGCATTAGCTGAAATCATTGAATGGCTCAAAAAATCTGGAATGGCTTCATGGCTATATGAACATATACAAGTTTTTATCCTGTGAAGTGTTTATCCTGTGCTCCGCGGTGAAGGAAAACATCGTGAGGAAACCTGCATAATTTCGAATTAATAACAAAAAATATATATTTCGAAGATATGTGAAGTCTGCCAATCCGCAGTGGGGCCGCGTGGTGGACTATGCCCTAATACCCTCTGTATAGAGGAGGCCTTTGCCCAGCTGTGGGATATGTATAGGCTGTTACTTTACTTTACTTTCAATTATTACAAAAAACAGCGTGGTTAAGACCTCTGATAAAAGTCGTGCAAATTTAAATGGCAACATTTAGAAAAATGCATTACTGATTTCGTATCATTAAATCCGTTTATTCAAAGTGTAGTCAACAACTTTTTAAATACTACTTCTGATATCCAAAGTGTGGCTCATAGTTAAATTTTGGTACCTCGGCATAACCTCAAATAAACACATCATCCAGCCGTAACCGGCGACTATTGGACTGATATATTTTTATTATTATGCCAGAATGTTTGCCTCTATAACGTTCGGTAAATCACGCTAGGGTTTTGTCAGTCACAAGATCCATTTTACGTGTTTTATTCGAGATAATTATTGGACCACCTGCGATGTAAAATAAAAAATTTAAGCGCTAAATTCCGTAAAACGGAACGTATTACTAAGTATGAATAATCTGTTTTATTGCGTAAAACGGAAAGATTTACACAATAACACAGTTTCGTTTCCAACAGCGGTGTACGGATTAATTTGGGAACGTGATTCAATTTTCGTCAGGCCCGTTCTATTAATATCCATCCATGGCGCGATGGCGTCACAGCATCGCTTCCTCTGTGTTTCCTCCTCTCTTATCAGAGTCGGTAGCTCCGATATGGCAACCGCGCGTTTTCCCAAACCGCATCTGCTACGATAGCGGACCGTTCACGTGGGAGAAATCGACTGGCATTGAACACGAGCGTGATTATATTGTCACTGAAGTTTCCCGCCAAAATAGTTGTCAAAATGACACCCGTGCATCGCGTACGTCAAGGTGGACTTTAGGGAAGTATTGTACCCACTCATATAAAAAGGAAACTGACTCTTAAAGTCACTTTCCACTTGATATTTGCGGTTTCATGTATAGATTTATGGAATACCGAAATAAAGGGAATTAACATCATCTATCATTAATTAAAACGCGTATAATTTATTAATTGGAACCTCTGTCAAAAGTATTAGTTGTAATGTCGGACAAATTGACGGACGCTTTACTTTCTTTGATAGTTGTAACCTTTGGTGCATTATTGATTATGCATTGTTCCTACGGTTCATCAGATTTTTTTTGAAATATAAGTAATTTGTAAAATATAAGTACTCGGGCACGCAAAACATTCGTTAGCGTTGCTAATTTTTAAGATTAAACCAGTAAGTGTTAATACTTATACTTTATACTTCTTTGTGGCAATTCCCTAGACATGATATTAAACGGTGGTAGGGCCACGCAACAGTGTTCGCTGTTGTTCGAATAGGTCCATCCGGGTTAGTACCACGACCTCACAGAAGACCGGCGTAAAGTAGAAGTGTTGCACTTCTGCGTTTCGTCTGGTGATTGAGGTAGCCCACATTATTAAGAGGTGGCAACGCATCTGCAACCCTACGGGTGTTGCAAATGTCCATGGGCAGGCGGTATTCACTTAACATCAGGTGACCTGTCTGCTCGTTTGGCAACTTTTGGCATAAAAAAAAGATATTGATAGACTCGGCTTTAATGGGTTTCTCGAAAACGAATGGAATATACGGAATGGAAATATTGTAGAAATTTGGTCTATCTTTGCAAATACTTATATTTGACGTAGATATGACGAAAATTATAAATTATTATTTAATAGTTACCTTAATACCTGGATTAGAAACAGATGTACGGGACGTCAAGTATACGTGTATACGTGATACACGGTCGGTGTCAAAACCACTTGAAATATTGGCAACTACAAATTGTACGCGGAAAAATCGCCACGATGGACGATATTACGTCGCGAAATAAAGCACGAAAGTAATAGGAGATAAGCGAAGAATTCAGATAAGGCCGCTCTAAACTTGTGAAATGTTTTAAAATTAATTATAATCTCGCATAAGTTGCGACGGGAGGTGCGCTGTGCAGCACAGTATGCCGCATTATAGTAACTAGAAGTGATTATTTTTTTGAATTAAAATAGAACCTACATCGATTACATTAATTACAAAAAAAATTAAATTACTTCACTACATTGTATAAAACAAAGTCGTCCCGCTGTCTGTCTGTCGCTATATATGCATAGATCTTTAAAACTATGCAACAGATCTTGATGCTTTTTGACTAGATAGTGTGGTTCAAGAGGCAGGTTTGTATGTATAATACATTGCACCCGTGCAAAGCCGGGGCGAGTCGTTAGTATGCTATACATTAAAAAGTAGATTATGTTTCACCTGATATATAAAATAAAATTTATTAAATAAACCTTAAGCGTGTACTAGTTCGACGAGACCGTTGTAAATAATACTTTGTACCAGATTATATCGTAGTGATAGTTTAATAAGCGAAATAACATTTTTTTTTTAAATATAGTAACTATATTTTTGTAACACCCTCGCCGTTTCCAGTCTCTCTACAGCCGTGTATGTTCATAGCCGTGATAAGTAGTGCCAAGGTTTGAGTTGCGTTAATGTAAATTTTGTGTTTAGCTCATCTCAGTGCCCCGCTTTGTGTAACGTATTAGAATTTCTTGAATGTCATATCCAGGCGAATGTTGCACGGTATCTTGACCTCTTTGTATTTTAATATGTATTACTTAACCTCCTATTATATTTCTTAATGCTAACTTTCGGCGTTTAGTACGCGCATTGTACTGATTTCGCGGTACGTACGGACTGGGTATGCTTATTTTTAATTGGACAGACTAATAGGAAGCAATTAGACCCCACATTGTTTTTTTTTAATCGATAGTCGATAATTGACGTGACACTGACAAATTTAAATTCAACGAATAACCTTAAATTACTAATGCGTTTCCTTAACAGCAGGTAAAGTAAAGTATAATGTGATTAATTATTTATTTCGACGGGTATAATGAGGCATTGCGCTAACGTAATTTATTTAAGAACGAGAAAAAAAAACGCTGTTCGGTAAACTGATGTTTGTTAAGTTTTGATTCATATGTGATAAAACTTAGTAGGATTTTGTAATCATTCTAGCACGTAGACGTTGGAGAGACGAAATAGATATGTTAAGAGTGATCCTCTTTTAAGCGGAGGGCGAAGTGTGAATTTTTTTAGTAGTGGACTTGATTTCCACTACTCTAGACACATAATTATTTGCGAAAAATTGTAAATGGATCTCTTTCAATTCATTTAAATCTTAATCGTTGATTAAGTATGTTGTATGTTAGCTGTAAGTTCTCCATGAATAAATAAAATAAAAATAATAAATGTTTAATACCCAGTCTGGAGCAGCTCGTGAATGTATCTGCATTTGTAATGTTGAAGTGATAAGCATACGTTGTAAAATAGTGTTTAAAGTAAAATCAAAGTAATATTACAGCCTAAGCAATGTCTCATTACTGGGCAATCAAGTCTCATATTGGATAGACCACCACTGTGGACTGGTAGACTAAACGAATCTTCGAAAATATTATTTTATTAATAGGAAAAATATGCGGGTTTCATCTCAATAATATAAAGTTTAGTGGTAAATCAGAATCCATTATGTTCCAGTTTACAAAGTTCCAGTCCATATAAAAATTGCGAGAGTTGAATTAGAATAAAAATATTTCGTACACTATTATTTTCCTATAATATATAGTATAATTTGCTAAAATATTAATATTTTATTATTTTTATAAATTTACCTAAGGGTGGCAACCCTAGTCAAAACCACTCCTGGACAGTATTTTTTTACAGGATGTTCCAATGGTACCGAATCCATAAGCGCCGTGGTACATCTAGGCGATCAGATATATCCGCGTGCCACGCAGGGCGATGGAATATTACGTCCCATATTGGAAAGTCGTCCTAATTGCCGAAACGCGCGCGGGGCGGCAACGTCGCGTGCGAAAGTGGCCGGATTTCTGCGCGTACGCATCCCGCGCGACGCATGCTTAAGCGTCGCACTTTTCTCGAACCTCTGGCGGCCATCGTTGCCTGTGACGCGGCCCATTGTTGCGGTGGTGAATCAGGCGCCGCGCTTTCGACCGCTCTCCGCTGGGTAAGCTTCTGGAGACTTCGATGGGCGCGTGCGATATATGCTATTGAACTATTCCAGTAGCAGTCGTCATTTAGATTACCTATAGGTGCAGGCCTGTGACACCACGATTGACTTTTTACTGTGGTAGTGACACGCAACAGTCTTCGCTGTTGCACGAATGGGCAGGCCCGTCCGGGTAAGTACCACGACCTCACAGAAGACCGGCGTAAAGTGGAAGTATAACAAATACTTTCGCGTTTCGTCTGGTGAGTGAGGTAGCCGGAGCCCAATCTTCAAAAGGTTGTCAACGCATCTGTAACCCTCGGGTGTAGCAGATGTCCATGGGCGGCGGTATTCACTTACCATCAGGTGAACCGTCTGCTCGTTTGGCAACTTTTCACATAAAAAAAAAAAAAATAAAAAAAAAAACTCCACTGAGTCATCATTAATTTAGTCTATCTATCAAATCTTATTAATAAGTCTTCAAGTTTGAACTTCAGCGAATGTTTAATATAAAAAATAAATTTAATGTTTGTTGGCGATAATTGCTCCTGAAGAATTTAATTTACTAATTAAACTACACTATAATAACTTAAATTGCATCATGGATACTCCATATAATTAAAGATCGCCTATTCTTTTATTTTGCACAGGAAAAAAATGTTTTCCACCTATAAGTTTTATAAATCGACAAAAGTCTGTAATGCGCAGTGGTCGATATTACACGAAAATATATTAATTATTTTTTCTCGAAACTCATTCAGGTAATCAGAAATTTTGAAAGGGGTCTGTCTTCTTGTCTTCTTACATTAATGGCATTCCTTAAAATAACGATATCTACTTTATGCGACTGTTTAGACCGCATACTATTATGTTTTCGACATTTACAGACCGTAAAAAATGTAATGTATTATTTTATTCAATTAAATGTATTTGTACCAAATATTTTGTATACTCCTTCCTTATATAAATTTTACCGAATCACACACATATTCATATGATCAATTTGGAAAATATAAAAACGAAATAAAGTTTTTTATTCGCTCTGCTTATTTTTATTATTTAGTTCTTTATAATAGGTTTCAGAAACGCTACACTTAATGGACATAAGGTATACCCGGACTCAGTACAGTAGGGCTACAAACGTATATGTCCTACACACATTTCTCCCTCAAACGAGCACTAACGAACAATGTCGCGTAATAGCAGTTTGCTTGAAGTATTGAAACCATTGCGCATACCGACACTGTAAATCTCGTTCTTACATACATCACAGCAAATTTCAGTTCCATTCGCTTCACTGCGAAGGGAAGCCAGGTGCGACAAAGACAAGTGACGAGAGTCGCGCGGCATAAATCCTCTTTAATTATTCACTGTATCTCAGAAATAACCTTACGCTCAAAAAATGTGAACGGAACTAACAGAGTTACACTACAAGTTATTATTAAACAATTTAGGTTATGATGATGCGCCTCTTAGAGCTGTATGTAAGACTGTGCTGTGTATGTGCGAGCTGGTCTGACACTTGGCAAGTGATTTGACAATCATTGATTCACCCGCAAGTCACACCAGACTGCTGTTTAACATAATGAAAGATGCAATTTGCATACCGATAACCATCGGCATTTGTTGCACAAGCCCCGATGATTAATATTCCTCTCGCCGGCAGCTCTCTTGAGGGTTACTTAAGCGCTTTCTCTTGACGTCCGGTGTAAATCTCAAAACAATTAGTTGACCGATCGACCCTTGTAGCAGCGGTTTATGATCGCTCAATGAGTCCGTCGTAAATACTTCAGTTGTTTAAACCAACACTACTAACAAGTTTTTACAGTCACATTACAAGTCTACATCCAACTTTTTTGGCCACGAATCAATTTTTGCTGTTGTTCGAATGGGCATGCTCGTTCGTGGAAGAACCAGTCCCAGTATTATAACCTGGCGTTTCGTCTGGTGACTGAGGTAACTGGGACTCACTTTTTAAAGGTGTTAATAATAAGTGCAATCATTACAAGCCCTCAAACAACTCAACCCTCAAACCTCAACAAAAACAATACTAACATGACGTTAGTATTGTTTTTGTTGAGGAACTTTTTTATTTCAAAAGGTGGCTAACTGAGGAGTCAACTCACCTTAGTGAGGGCTGCCATTCTCGACAGGATATTCATTTATTTTTTTATATCAAAAAGTGGCAAAGGAGCAGGCGGTTCATCTGATGTTAAATGATAAGCGCCGCCCATGGACATTTGCAACACCCGTAGGGTTTCAACTGCGTTGCCACCTTTAAATAAAGTTGGCCCCGGCTACCTCACTCATAAGACGAAACGCAGTGTTACACTTCTACTTTACGCCGGTCTTCTGTCAGACCGTGGTACTTACCCGGACGGACCTGCCCATTCGTGCAACAGTAGGTATTGCTTGGCCCTATCACAGTTGGACAACACTGGAGACATAAATAGTCATCGTAAAAGTATGAATACTTTTCTAATTAATAAGAGCAATTTTATACGTTAATGAACTTTAAAAATAGCCGCCGACACATGTAGAAGTTAAAAATCATTATCATCATCATCGTACTCCCTTATCCCACCTAGGTGAGGTCGGCACATGTGAATCATGTTGTAAGCGGTTTAGGCTATGTTTTACGGCCAGCTGCCTGCCTGACGTCAACCCTCCTTGGGCAACCAACACAGATACTAAACAATTGTCTGTGGGTCCCACAGATACTTATATACCCCCGACGCCGAAGCCAATAGTCTAGCAACGGCGCCACCGAGTTATAAAGTTATGGATATGAACTCAGTTTGTTCGACTATATTGAATTAAAAGCGAGCGTCAGGACACTGAGCTATCACGGCTATTAAGGCATAATGTTCTCGCCTTTAATTCAATACACTCGAGCAACCTGAGTTCAATTCCCGATACCGGCACCAATGAAATTGTTAATTTTAAGTGCTGATTCATCACGTGCTCCGCGGTGAAGGAAAACATCCTGAGGAAACCTGCATATTTTCGAAATAATAAAAAAAAAATATTTCGAAGACATGTGAAGTCCGCCAATCCGCAGTCTGGAAGCGTGGTGGACTACGACCGATAACCTGTATATAAAGAAGGCCTTTGCCCAGCTGTGGGACATGCATAAGCTATTACTTTCCTTTTGATAAGATAATTAAGGGTGCGTGCAGAGGCGGACTTAACAATCTCAATGCCTCACTTTTCTGTGAAATTGATCAGTATGACTCAAAATTAAATATGAATATGACGAATTGATTTGATTATTATAACTATTGAGAACAATATTGCGATAATATGTCCCTGGAAGAACTTCTGAGTACTTTTCCCTGGTACTTCCCCAATCGAGAGCTAATCATGGAGCAGGAAACGCCTAACTATAGCCAATCATGTGTTATGTAACGAACTGTATCTTCCGCAGTATGTCTGCGAAGTCGACTCCACGACATAAACAACGTCAATTAGCTATCATGACTTAGTCATTTCATCCTGTTTGAGTCCACTGCTGAACATCGGCCTCCCCTATAGACTGCCACGAAGTACGCTCCTGAGCCACCCGCATCCATCGACTTCCGACACATTTGCACAGGTCGTCAAAAACCCCTCATGTATGGAGGTCGCATCATGACTTAATATACCAACACAAATCGTTAAAATTTTCCCACTTGTTTCCTTATCAAAGAGCATTCATGGATTCTTTTCAGCTGCACGATAACGGATATTTATATGCCAACGATTAACTCACTTATCAATAAGTGATACGTTCAAGAAGAGATAAAAAAAACTGATTCAATTCTGTGACCACTTAAAACATGAACAACAACCTACAGTAAGTTTATGTACAGATTCACTGTCTTCCCCATATTTTTTTTACATTATCTTAAACTAAATACTTGTCAGAACTAAACACAATTGTTAGTAGTACGATGCTTCATACTTCTCCAAATCTGTATTATATAATTTGTTAAGATATTAAGATAGATAAGCCATTCACCTTCACTTTCATTCTTTTTATGATTATACGATTTGTCAATTTCATTAAATACTTGTTTATCCCAAATTTTCTTCAATGAGAGTTTTGTGAATCCGTATTATTATTTTTAACGTTAACAATAACGTTAACATACAAATATGGCTCCCACGCGCCGTGTGGCGAACTGCGTTATTATTTCTTAGATATCGAGGTTAAGAATTAAACCCAATTTCCCGAGTAGGTATACTGAATTAAACGGCCACTGAGCTATAGCGGAAACATAAACACAATAAATATGTGAATAACATATCGATGACCGCAGCAACAATGTTATATAGCCTTGTGTACAGCAAAGACGTAACAAAGATCATCGGCTTTGCATATTCATGTCTACTTAGACCGTTCGATTCACCTTCGCCCCCACGTCCGCTCGAGTGGCACCGACGGCATAGATTAAAAATCACATTCGTAAACAAGAGTGTTTTTTTTTAAATTAACCCCACGCGATTGTCTTTGGGAAATTATAAAGTATCTGTTTTTAATGAAAATGTTTACGCATTACATGTAATTAAAATAATTTTTAAAGTTTTGCCGATAACAGTTAATTTAACGTAAAAGATAGGGATGATTTGGGAACGTTACCAAAATAATCGAAGAAATCAACGCTCACCGGGCCTCTATTTGGACTATCCCGCGCTCATGCGTTTTCCAAAGACTGTATCGCTTAGCATTATTTCGTTGCAGTTTGTTTAAAAAAAATAGATGATACATTAAACTAATACCGCGCGAACCGATTTAAAAGAGCGAGGACTTCTAAGAAAAACATATTACGATTATCTGTCATTGTGTTGAGTCTTAGAAACAGCGATTTACTTCAAGGTATAAGCGTAAGGTGCGATCGGAAATATTTTCAAGTTCCCACGTAATGTCTAATGCGTTCAAAATGATTTGTGTTCATTCACAGTGTTTCATTGGTAAAATTAACTTTGAAATTTTTCTAATATTAGGTGAGATTTATTGATAAAAATATGTATAAGATTTATTTATTGATAAAAGTATAACAAGTAGAAAAAGAATACAACGCAGGGGGAATGGGCTGAGCCAGCAGTCAAGTTATCTCACTGTAATTTCCTCGAATCGAGATCTTTAGCGTTGACCATACAATCGTCCGATAGCGGCGTCCGAGCGAGCATTCCTCACGTCGTGATTCCCACGCCACCGTTTACGGGAATCCGAGAGATCATCTCAATTAGGGCTGCCACATTAATAAAATATACACGCTGTATGTATTTAATAGTTTTTTTTTATGTGAAAAGTTGCGAACAGGCGATTCGTTCGCCTGTGATAGCAGATGCGTTGACAACCTTTAAAAAAGCGAACGCTGATCTTCTGTAAGGCTTTGGTACTACCAAACCTACTACGTTGGTTGGGCCTACCAAAGCAAAAGCTTTTACGTTACGGATAGAATTGTTGCTTAAACATCAACAAAAATTGAGAGATGTTTTGAGAGATTTTTCTAAAGTAAAGTTTCATTAGAAATAAATCTGTGTAAAGAAGGTATAACTGATTGGGAACTATTTTCTACTCGGTATTGTATTCATATCGAGATTGTAGAATTAGACTATATCAAGTTATAATATACGTCGGTTTCTTCGAAATCAAAAAAGCTATCGACGATAATGGTCGTGGATTGTTCTTTGATTATCAATTCTGAACGTGAATTGAAAAGAAAACCCTGTGGGTGAATTTTTGAATAGATCGTTAATGGAAATAGCATAATTGCGACAGCCCTGATATTGTGCGCAATATGCTTGCAGCCGACCAAAGGAACACCTGAGCTCAAGGAGACAAACATCCTTTGTGAAATTCAATGATGTTACCTATATGACTATCTACAACTTTATTGTGCGACCAATAACGCCTGCGGTATATAATTACATGAATACATTATGAGTGCATAGTTGGTTTTCAATCGACTTCAAAAGAGGAGGAGGTTTTCAATTCGACTTTTTTTTGTTATGTTTGTTATCTCAGAATTTTCGACTGAGTAAACCAATTTTGATGATTGTTTTTTTTTTATTTGAAAGCTGGTGCTTCCCATGTGGTTCCGTATTAATTTCATTGGTATTGGATCTTGGGCTCCGGAGATACGTAGGAAACTCCTGAAAATCAATTGTAAAATGAATACAGAGCGAGATATTTGAAGTCTGGTTTTGTTTTGCGTTAATAAAACCGATTTGCAATAATGACGCTATAATTGGTACACTGAGTATTTATCGCACTGTGGAAGTTTATTGATGTTTTAGGATTGATCACAAGTCTCAGCTTTTCTAGACTATGGCGTTTCCCGAGTGGTCAAGGAGAAATATAGTAGGTATTCCATATTTCTTATGACATTAACACAACAACAGCACATTGAAGTCGTCATCATTTACGAGCTCAGCGAGACTTCAAGATGTAGATATGACTTTGGGGGCTCTCACCGCTCCCACGGTCTGGATACTGGACCCCAACGGTCTGAGCCGACAATCCCATCCTTGTATTACACATGCGTCTATTAGCGTAATGTCTATCTAACTGTGGACAACTTGTCACTGGGTGAGCGACCAATGAAGCGTTGTTATGTCAAGGGATTCTTTTCTGAATATATTTTGTATTGAATATGATTTGTCCAATTCAAAACATATTCGGAAATTTTTTTGCTAACATTGGGTCTGTGTTTTCGATATTTCCATTATATATACGAATGGATATGCGAATGTATACTGGAAATAGTATTAAATGATTCATACCTTATCTTGCTCTGATAAGAGTTTGCAGTTTCCTAAGCCCAAATTTATGAGTCGGCGTTACATACGATTATGGTGTCAATTTGTGATGGATAACAGGCCCTGATCGAATGGAGTTTAGAGTATTGAATGAGATTCTAAGTTGTTCTTCAAATTAAAAAAAAATAACGAGAAACAAATCAACAAAATGTGTAAGCGAAATAACATACGCTCTTACAGTGGGACGATGTTATAATTTCTATAGATTATCGGCGTGCCTTTGATAAAAACTGTCGGTAGTTGGAATTATTCAATATGCATGTCGGGTCGACCTGTTATTTGGTTCGTGGTTCGTGGAATATTCTACGCTATTTCCCTCCCCATCCACCCTTGGAAACTATGAAGTTGTTACACAATTCCGATGGCGATTATGACTGCTGTACAGTATTAATTGGTCTTTGTTTGAACATTATAAATGTAGGAAGAGCGCTTTATTACTACTAAAAAGCTACCACCACTTATTATATAAAAGTTCTAACGTTTTTACCTTGATCCTAATATTTTAACTATACTAAACTTGAATATTAACAATTATTATAACGACAAGCAGCACTAGTGGTTATATTGGGGATAAAAGTGCGAAACTTGGCACAACTTGGCTTTGTTTCATTACTAAAAGATCGTAATACCTTTAAGATAATTATTTAAGATTCATTTACTATTCACTTCTATAAGCGATGAATACAAAGGGATATCAATATTAAGGCGTTCTGTAGCTGAGTTTATGGCAAATATCTATACTAATAGGTGATACGATTCGATTTAAATCTCTTTGTATACTTCGGATATTTTATAATGTGTAGTGTTAAACAGAGGTGGGGCCACGTAACAGTCTTTAGTGTTGCACGAATGGGCAGGTCCGTCCGGAGAAGTATCACGACCTCTTTGAAGAAAGGCGTGAATTGGAATACTTCTGCGTTTCGTCTGGTGAGAGAGGTAACCAGGGACCACTTTATTAAAACGTGGCAACGCATCTGAAATCCTACATATGTTGCAAATGTCCGTGGACGATGGATATCTGTGGTGCGTGGCCACGCAGCAGCCTCGGCTGTTGCACGAATGGGCAGTCTCGTTCGGGTAAGTACCACGAGCTCACAGAAGACCTTCGTAAAGTGGAAGTATGACAAATATTTTGGCGTTTCGTCTGGTGAGTGTGGTAGCTGGAGCCCAATTTTCAAAAGGTTGTTACACACCTGTAATCCTCGGGTGTAGCAGATGTCCATGGGCGGCGGTATTCACTTAACATCAGGTAAACCGCCTGCTCCCTTGTCAACTTTTCACATAAAAAAAAAATTAGTTAAAACATCAGGTGAACCGCCAGCTCGCTTGCCACTTTCACACATAAGAAAAAATATTTTTCAATTAATTAAGATAATTGCCGCACTGCAAATGCCGCGAGCCGCTTGCTGACAAAGATGACAAAGGCATCTCAAAAAAAGGAACGAATTTTGAAGCAGCGCTTTCGTAGTGTTTTAAAAAAGTCGCGTACCATTCCGAATCTCAACCATTCACCTCATGCTCATAACGCGACCGTTGGACGTTCCAATTTCAAATCAAAATCGAACCGAACAAAGATGGACGGCAGTGAAAGCGCGGTCGTCGATCGACGAACATGATGCGTGCGCGCCTTTTTCACGCGCGCCATCTTGCAAATGCCAACCAAAACTACTTTATTCCAACGCGATAAGGTAAATTTTTCACCGTCCAAGATGCAGGCGTAAATTTTTCGTACGCTACCGTCATGGCGCTCACGCGTTCTCGATCATGAGATGTAATTGCCCTTTTGTTTATTAATTCACTGCTTAATTACGTCTTTGTTTTGTTATCGTTATTTTTCTTCAGTCGCCAATCTGTGGAGAAACTGAACAGGTAATGTTCCTTTTATAAAGATACTAGCTGCTGACCGCGACTACGTCTGCGTTGAGGGGTAAAAATTTAGGGTTGTATGTATTTTTGTATGCTGTATTATAAAAAAATAAAAACAAAAAATTTTTTGGGACCAGGTTTTGATGACCAACTTTACCGTCAACAATGGAAAGGCCACTCAGCAGTTTCTGCTGTTCTATTGCTGCACGAATGGTCAAACTCTTCCGGCAGAGTATTACGGCTTCACAGAATACCGACGTAAGTAGAAGCATTTGTACACTTACATTTCATCCGGTGAGGCGAGATCTCCTCACAAACTGTGAGATAGGACCGTATAACCTTCAGTACCACGATTATCAATTTGAAAGCATTTGATTCACTAAGCTGCAAAGCGACAATGATCATTGATTCATTGAAGAATGCATCATTGATTCATTGAAGACATTGCCACATTCAGCTTTCTAGTACACGCATTTTTGTGAGTAGTCTATGTATAAATATAAGTATTTTCTGCATGTTCATTTCTCATTCATTGGAAACTTTGTCTATGATCGCTGAGATTTAGCTATGGGCCGTGGTCGTTTCCCTTACGCGATTTTTTGAATTTAAAATTTCCTTTCAAGTTTTTTTAAATTTAGTATTTTTATTTATCCATTTCAATTTTGTCCGTGTCCACTGGTGTTAGACACCGCAACGGTTGCTGTTGTCGAATTTAAAGTCTGGTTTTGGGAGTATCACATCTAACTGTTTTCACATTAGTTTATAGCACTTGAATTTATCGTCAAATAACAACCAATTTTCTCTTGGGTATAAACGATTATTATTATTATATAATTTAATAATGTATAACAGTTTACTTGTTTTTCTCACATATTTATTAATGTCCGACGTGCATTTCTCTCTCTCACGAGTTTCTTCAGCATAACAGTGCTGGTCACTCCAATGGCCTGGGCTTATCATCTACATGCTGTGCTGCTGGTCGACTCTACATTGCAACGCTCACCTAATTTTATTCTTACTTTTCTTACTCTCTCCTCTCATTGCAATTATTTTTCCGTTTTAATATTTTAAATTCACACAATTTTTTTTTATATTTTATGTTATATTGGCTTGAAAGTCTTTTTTGTTTTACTGTTTTTTATGATGATTTGCTTAATTGTTTTTTATTATTATAATCAATCGGGAAGGATCCGTATATTGGCGGGAAATAAATTTATGTGAACTTTCCACGATATTATTTATTTCAAGTGTATTTATCTACTCAAAAATGCGCGTCGGCACATTTTCACGTCGCCGATCATGAGTACTGGCTAGTGTTTTGCGTAAAAAAAAATTTAAAAATTTGGGTAAATAAAATAAAAAATCACATTCGCTCCACTTTCAAATATTTCAATTAAAAAAAAAACTGAAACCCGAAATTAAACATATTTTGAACCAAGAAGCCTACGGGAGTTTTATGAATTCCCATCAATTCCGTCCAGCGCTGCGAAACATTAGAAACATAGAATTCTCCATGTGAAATTTACGTGAAATTAACAAATAATAAAGCAATTACGCTAGTTAATTGCCCACAGCTAGAATCGCCGTGCGGTAATAGTCTTTATTTGTAAACAACAGCAAAATAGGTGCTTCTTAACTGTCACTTTTAATGCAACTCTACTATAAAACCATGCGGCGTGGAGAGCTATTTGCCGGCGAAGTAAGACGCGTTTCAATCTCTACGCCGCTACCATGACGACGGATGCAGCGCGCGAGCTAGTCTCCAATCATCTACATTCAAGATTGCATAATCAAAGACATTTTCTATAAATATATTTGTGTAGTTTTTTATAATCTGAGTCATTTTTTTTTGTTAAAAAAGTGTCCTCAGAATGGGTACGGTGGTTTTAATAGATTAAATATTAAGATTAAATATTTATTGCTGCTATTTAAATTACCTTCAATATTAGAGTCGGTAATTCGTTGACAATAAATTATAATTTTTTGGCAAAATTCGTTGAAGAAAATTATTATATAAAAAAAGAGTACATTTTTAAATTATAAATATTAATTTCTCTACCAAATTAACTAAAGTAAAAGAAAGAAAAGCATCAATATTATATTATTAATAAAATGTGATACAATTTTTACATTTTTTACTATACTTTTCCATTACGACTTGTGCTTGCGTTATGTCGAACTATAAGTAGAATTTTTTCCATCATAACTTATGAAAAACTTTTTTACGATACGTATTAAATAATTAATCCTGCGGCACGTTAGTAAGATAAACAATACCTCGCATGATTTCGATGTGGCAACACCGAAGATTTCTATCACGAAACGCTGAGAAAAAATTGAGGCGTTTACGCAACGCAGTATAGTACCGCCCAGTAAACCGGACGGTGAGTCTACCGGTTTGTTGTTTTCGATTTGCGTATGTTCATATATGTTAGCAGTATGTTTATTTTATTCTCAAAAAAAATGTATATGTACTGCTCTTAGCAACGGCGCATCTTTCACAAATAAACGAAAGTACATATAAATCAAATTCTGTTTTCGATCTGTTTTGATGTTTCTAATATTTTAAAGTTAAAAAAATGTTGATATTCATGTGTGACGACATCACACATGATTATCAACATTAACGTAATTTTTATGGTTGTTAGGTATTTACAATTTTAATAAATATGTGGAATCAACAACCAAAATACACATATAAATTATGATGAAGATTAAAAATTAAATAAATAGAAAAATTACATGAGTAGTTTGTCTGTACGAAATAATCCACACTGAAGTTTTTTATCTGCACTGTGATCGTAAAATGTTTTATCGACATTCTTCAATTTATCTTTTACATTATCATTTAATGATTCGATCGAGTACACGGTAAAACGATTTAACGGCGACATGTTCTTCAATAGGAATCATTTCCTATTCGAAACTGGCAACAATTTTTCGCGCCGTTTCTCAGCATTTCCAAATTCAGGATTCGCTAACATAGCCGGTAAATGTAGTGTAGCCAATACGTATTCGATCTATGTATATAGTAAATTAACGTTTTTTTCAACAGTAATCTATACAGATATTGTAAAAATGTAAATTTTGTTTGTTCATTTGTGTGTTACGTGTGGAATCTATTGAATCTATTGAATAAATTCTATTAAAGCGTAGCCACATTAACCGTCAGTAAAATAGGACATAATTTATTTAAGTAAAAATATTATTTTAATGTTTGAAGAAAAAGGTGATAAAATAAACAATAAAATGGTAATATGGAAGTAAAAAAATGCATAATTACAGTAGGTACTCTTAAAATATTATTTATCTAATACAAGATCGATTAGCTTACCTGGCATGATTTCTTCTTTGAAGTCAGGCCAGGTAAGCTAATATTTTCGATTAAATGAAGATTTAAAAAACTTAACTGAAGATCTTATAGTTTTATCCTAATTTATATGAGCTTTTTAAAGATACCGTAATCTAATTCATTTAGTGCCGCCATGTTGTATGAAATTATTTTTATTTCGGAGTTTTTGCTATCTGTATGGCTCCTGCAGGAAAAAATTGTAGTGCATTACTATCTCGTGGGTAGGTTTATTATGTCGTAAAGAAACTTTATTATAAAAGTGAAAGATAGCATAAACCTCCAAAAAAAAAAACAACATAAAATGAAAGTAGTCCGCCTTTGTACTTTGTATGCATTAAGAATAAATAAATAAATAAATAAACGTAAAATACAACGGAATATTAAAAAAGCACCTTCGACTTTACATTGGGATTAACAAAACGTAGATTTTTTATTCGTTTCAAAAGGCGTTCGTGTAAGTCAGGATCCGTCATTCTGACGCGTCATAGTCACTGTATGAAAAAACCCCTTTCTAAAAATAAAGATTAAAAAAAAAAGTCATTCTGACAAACCAAGACCAGTGGACAAATGGTACCTACGAATTAAACGTAATTAAAAAGATAAAACTGTAAAATGGTTTGCAACGTTAAAAATTAACGTTTTAAAGTTAACTTTTCAATGAAACTGATTTTATCCGTAAATTAGTTTCAATGAAAAGTTAACTTATGCCTCGGTTTATTTTCAACATCTTAAGTTTTAACATAAAGTACTTGGTTTTATTTAAAACGTGATTTCAATATAACGTTCGTAATAGGTTTTCCAGATGTGTTCAAAGTAGGTAATTAAGATTTGGAAAATTTAATAAGTAGTATCCTACCTAACCTTCTATTGTATTCTATATGGATCAAAATTCACTTTAATTTTTTTTGTCCTGTATTTAACATCTTACTTAAGGCGCGATGAATGCTATAGAGTACGTATAAAGTTTAAAGTGATTTGTAACTCACCCAAATATTTTATAATTAAAAAAATCTAAAAGTCGCTCTGCTACGAATGCCTAGCATTGCATGATAAATAAAAATTTTAAGACATCACACATCAACGCTGTCCTCATATCAGCTACTAAAAATATTCCATCGTCACTCAGCTCTCGAAGTAGGCGCGCGTCGGCGGGTGGCGCGCATTTCTCGTATTGTATTCAAATGTCGAATGGCTGACCCGAGCCGCTTAGCGGCCAGCGCGATTCTGAATTATCGCATAATAATCAATACGTTAATAATATCTGTGTATTTTATTCCGTAACAGTAGCCGTTTTGTTTGTACGATTAAAAACAGTACGAATTTTTTTATTCGTTTAAAGATTTTTTTTTTCTATTCCGTGGTTTTGAGAGCCACTGTTTGTGTTAAAATTATTTAAAAAGAGGACAATTTACCTCGTTCTATTTATTAAAAGAAAATACTCATACGGTAACTTTAATTTATAATTATGTATGCTTCTTAGGTACGAGTTTGTCAAGTAGTTAGATATTTGTTGTCTTGTAATTAGATAGGACTACAATCAATAAGTAAGTGATTTCGTCCGAACCTTTTTAAATGAAGTAATACAAAAGGAAAAGTATCATTCACTCCAAACCCTCAATAATAAAACGTGTTTCGATACGTAATTATGTTTAATTAGACACTTTTTACGTTGTAATAACAACATTATGACTTCATTGACAATTTCTCTATGCGCATATTAAGTGATGAAGTACTCAATTTACATTAATTAGCGGACAATTAGACAAATAAATATGAAATGTATTTATTAAATTGTAAATAGATTAAGAAGAATCGGTTTATTAAAAAGATATGGCAGCACACAATATTCCTTGTAAAAGCATCGTTAGATATTGCGTGGAATAAGAGACGAGAAGGCTATTTGCTAAAGGTGGGTTCGTTATTCAGAGAGCGATACGTTTTCGACGCTTAGTAAAAAACTATTAGCAAGTGAATCACGATTGCAGCGCCTACGAAACTTCTGTAGGCGGGTTAATTCCTTACATCTCAATATACACCTACTTATAGCGAACTTGGCAACTGGCCCACATACCTAAACGCGCGGCAATGTTCGGCCGCCGGCGGCCGCGGGAATCTGAGCTCAATTCCAATCGCGCTACGGCCCTGTGCGGGGGCAGATCAGTTTGAGGCATCCGCATCTCGCGCGCGACAAGGACGCAAGATCGGTACGAGATTAGAAGCCATTTGGTCTGGTATCGATCGGCACTCCCGCCCGCCCAGTGCGCGGGGCGGGAGGAGTCTCGAAGCCGTTTTGTTAATCTTGTTCTGTGTCTGCTTGGGGTGGATTTTAAATGGGTTTCCCGTGAAACGCTTATGTACAGGGGGCTGTATGAGGGGTTTTTCGTCGCTCCGAGACGACAGTTAACGGTTCAACCGGCGCTGATTCGTTCCCTTTTCTGTAAGGTTTTATTTATATGTCTTTAATACTGAATGAGTTTGACTTAGTTTTGAAAGGGAACTGTCCTAGAAAGTTCGCAGAACGTGAGGTGCGCAATAGGAAGAATGATGGATGTTTGTGAATCAGAAAGATTGTGAGCGTCGAGGAAAATGACATGCTAGTCTCTACTGTTGTAGAAATATTGTACGTGTTTGTAACGTTGTCTTAATAATGCGGTAGAACCACTCTTGCTGAAAAGTAAATATAATTTCTTTCCACCGAGGACCCGCTGAAAATTAATTTAATTTAAAATATAATTACTGTGCGAAAAAATCGATCGTTATTTCGCAAAATTCATTCCTAGTCAACAAGGAAATATGAAACAAGAAATTATTAAATGAAACAAGAAATTCGGCTGCATTGAGAATACTAATCTTTTGTCTTTTTTCGTGGACACCATATTGAAATAATAACATATCTAACCTATGAAATAACCTATATTACCCCCAAAACATGGAATAATCTAATGACACCCCATAAGTTAAAATCCGATAATAGGTTTAGGCTGTAAAGCGTACCAAAGAATTAGACACACATACGTAGGCAAGAAAAACATTATTAAAAAGGGGATAGAGTTTTAGGTCCAATTTACATACATAATCACCGTAAATAATACTCGTAATCAATCAATAAACATGTCAATCTTACGTGCAGTGCACAGACTATTATCAATTTTCAATCAAAGATGTGAAACAGAACTGCTTTAAATACTAAGAATTTATTTATAAATTTGTATAGTGCTTATCTCTCGAGATGAAATAGTAAAATTTATAGGAAAGAGATTTGTACAAATTGTATCATTTATTTTTTCACTGCAACATTAAACACCTGGCTCTTATCGATGTATAGTTGTTAAGTTTTAAAAAAACATTAATTTTTAAGAATTACGCAGACGAAGTGGCGGATATCGCTTAGCTTTTGTTTATTTCTTTGCCTCACTACATACATACACTTTTGACGTGTTACTTTATCAAATTTACTTTTAAAGTTTTTTAAATTTGGGTTTAATTATCTATATAAGTTATTATCATACAGTTTATAATTATTACAGTTTATTGATATAATATATACAAGATTAAATCTTTAAATCTAAAATTACATATTATCTAATAAACCTAATCCACGCAGCATGGTGCCAAGAACGCTAGCTGCAATTCCTCGCTGAATAGTTAAAAAAAAACAATTTACTTTTCGCCACCATTTCATCAACGGCTAAATAACGTTCCAGAATACGGGCGCAGAATTCTTTCCCGCCGTTTTACAATATTCGAAATCACGTTCCAGAATACGGGCATTGCTTTCCCGCCGTTCCACAATTTTGCAACGCCGTGCACGATGCAGTTTCGATCAATGCTTATTAGATCGTGATAATCGTTGATGCGAACTGGCTACAGCAGGATGTAATGCAAGACGTAACCCGTTTTTTTCACGTGCGCACCGCTCGGTGCATTTTCGTTTCTCGTTTTTTAGGCTGCCACCGATCGGGCGTGTGCTGTTGCAACGTCTTACGTTTCATCTTCGTCCGTTGTAGGATCGAGCCTTGCGAACACGTCGTCGAATTAATAATTGTTGTTGCAACGTCTTACGTTTTATCTTCGTCGGTTGTAGGGTCGAGCCTTGCGAACTCGTCGCCGAATTAATAATTGTTGTTGCAACGTCTTACGTTTTATCTTCGTTGATTATAGGGTCTAGACTTTGGAACTCGTCGTCGAATTAATAATCCATTTGTTATATGAAAAGTTGGCGAGTAGGCTGACGGTTCACTTGCTGTCAAATGATTATTATTGCCCATAGACATCTCCAACTCTAATGCCGTGTGTAACCTCATAAGCGCGACACTTAAGCGGTGGTGAAAACGAAACTGGCACTTAATTTTCTTAGGTGTCCCTTAATGTTAGGGATCGATGGTGCAAACGGGCATGAGAATTACAAATGCGTTGCCACCTTTTAAACAAGTGGGCACCAGTTACTTAACTGAATAGACGAAACGCACAAGTATATTACTGGAAGTATAATACTTCAACCCGGTCTTCTGTGAGGCCTTGGTATTTCTCCGGACGTGCTCATTCGTACAGCAGCAAAGTTATATCACGCTATCATCACTTTTTATGTCTACAGTTTCCTTCATGCATTTACTGTATTTTGGTTTTGGCTTTAATTGTTAGACCCATCACGGGAGCCTTGGAAGAAGTTCCCTACTGCAATTTGCCCTATAAATCGGGATATTATTTTGTCATTAGTCACAACACAAACATGCAATGATTAATATCAAGTATCAACTGTACCCCTAAAATAACGCTTCCAAGTCACCTGATTGTTCGTAATTATAAAATGGACGTGTGAAGATGACAGACAAAGATCTTAATTATTATATCCGTACTCTATTTCGGCCATATTACGTGACCAGTTCGTTTTCCCCCCACAAACAATGCCAGCACACGGGCTGTTTGAAGCATCACGAAAATATATTTACTCGGAGATTACGTTCGTAAAACCCACAAAGAAGGCACGGAAGCACGCTGAAAGCGGCTGGAATATTAATTATCAACACCACCCTGATCCGTCACCCCCGGGGAGTTTAGGGGTCGACGGGGTGGACTGGGGAGGCCCGTCTCACGAGTCAGCGCCTGGCACCGAAGCACTAGTGTAGGAGTCGGACACACAATTCGAACGTGTTTTAGCCTGTGCGATTAAAATGGCGATGACTTTAATTTTTAGAAGTTGCACTTCTTCTGACGTGTTTGCATAAAATTTCGAGGGTAAAATTTAAAGATGCGCGCGCGCACAGGCAAAAAGCGACATTGTTCCGAAGCGACCAACTTCTCGGTATTACCATGGCAACCAATATCAACTTTTTTACATTTACATATAATTTAATAGTATTTAATTATAAGTAGCCATATCCAAAAAGTGTTACATATTTAACAAATCAATTTATATATTTTTTTTAAATATTGAGACATGATAATTTATTTATTTAAAGATATTACTAATATGTTCACATAATATAACTGTAGCCTAAAACTAAAAACCTTAAAAAATATATAATATAAAAACTAACATATATATTATTAAAAGGAGTCCCTTTAGGCAAGGTTCCGAAGATACTGGCAGCGTTCCCCCTTTAAATAGCTAGACTAATTTTTTGTCCGAGGTAGCTGTCAGCTCTTCGGTCTTCTGTGATGTCGTGACCTTTTTGTTACTTCCTTAAAACGCCTTATAGCGCTAGTCATTTAATTTTAATTTATTTTAATTGTAAGTTATTGAATTAAGTAAATTAAATGTCTTTTTAAGAAACAAAGAGTACTGGCACGGTGGATAAAATTTCTAGTTGTTTTTCTTTTGTTACGCTAATGACGGTGGTAGGGCCACGCTGCAGCCTCGGTTGTTGCACGAATGGGCAGGCCCGTCCGGGTAAGTACCACGACCTCACAGAAGATCAGCGTAAAGTGGAAGTATGACAAATACTTTCGCGTTTCGTCTGGTGAGTGAGGTAGCCGGAGCCCAATCTTCAAAAGGTTGTCAACGCATCTGTAACCCTCGGGTGTAGCAGATGTCCATGGGTTGCGGTATTCACTTACCATCAGGTGAACCTTCTGCTCGTTTGGCAATTTTTCACATAAAAAAAAAGTATTACTTGCGTGGGTACATTTTTTTTAAATACGTCTATCCGAATAAAGGTGATAATTGCAATTAATTGTTTACTTTAATTTTAAACGGTTAAATGAATAAGATACCCGAGAAGATTTGAATGAATAAGTAATGTTTGTAAATTTCCATTTGTATAATAAAGGTTGTACCTTACAATCTACTTTATTACATTGACATCGTCATAGTTGTCCTTTCTGATGAAATACCTGAAACACGCCGAAGGTCTCTATGTTATCTTTAGTTCTTACAGATAATGAAGTTAATGATAAAGTAAAACTCAATGTTGAGTTATTATAAATATTTCAGATAAGTCTATTTATGTTATTAACACTTCAATCGCACTTCCTAGTCGTTACTATTTCAAAGTTTGTTAGGTCAGTGATGCGTTTTATTAGGCAAGTATCTTAATAATGATTTCATGTAAATAAATATAATTGACAAACATTAATACGGTTTAATTCAGCCCGTGACACAGTTATAAATACATTAATATGTCAGCACTTTATACAACGTACACACAGATTTATACACAACATTCTCTAGTCCTAAACTACTTGGGTACATAATATAGATATGTAAACACCCAGACACTGGCAAACACATATTCCATGGTAATAATACAATGGTACCTCATATCTTTTAGTCTTGGTCTCTTCGACTAGATGCGAGATTCGTGGCGCGGACAAAGGCTTTCACAAACTGAGGCGGGTTCCACGAAATTCGTGAACGTACCCTGAACTATTGTCCCTTCAGCCTTTGTTAGAGGATAGAAAATAGGTTCGGGCGGCGAGAGCGCGTGGACTTTTTTAAGTAATGAAGAATCAAAACTATCAAGTACCGCTTTAACGACCTGCGATTCTGACATTTTCTTTATAATGGTGGACAAAAAGGAACTTTCTTGAACTTCTTTGAATTAAATTTTTCATTAAGATTTTAACGCTTTATCGCCTTTGCAGTTTTGCTGTTGCAATGGGAGATCTTTACCCAGACGGGTGGCTTCCCCTGAAGAAAAAGCCACATATAGAAAGCGTATACATTCTATATAGAAATAACTAACGAGTTGAATATCTTTAATTATTTTACAATGATTATTCTTTCACACAAGCTATCTATAAGATTCTTGCGTTTCCACTTTTTATACTGCATAAGTTATAAAGAAATACGCGATTTAAAGAAATGGATATATTAAAAGCAATATAATTAATAACATTATCATATAATATTGTTTAAAGTTATACAAACAATACAAAAATTTAAAACAAAATCCAAAAGAATCTGACACAAGAGACAATGGACCTGAATAATGTCTGTAATAATGTTTAAATGTATAATTTTTGTATGAAAGCTATATCCGTCTCTTTTCTCCTAAAATCTCCACCAATAAGACCGTGCAAATTTTGAATACAATCTCAATACTCGCTCCTCTTATAGTGATAGCACAATACTCCCTTTATGTTGCTTGCCACGCGATAAATACTTTTATTTCTATAGACTGGTAATACTGTTTAGGTTGATTTTTCTTTAGAGGAATTCAGTGTCATTTACGCTCGTTCAGAATTGACTGGAAAATGAGATCGATTCTCTTAAAAGGGACGCGACTATGGAAATATGACACGTATTGACTGCTCATACGGTTGATATTGCTACGCGCCGCGGCAAATGATATAGCAATTTAATATGGTACGTTCGAAGATGGTTCTCGAGGGAACAACTGGGGTTACATAAAATCATTTCCTCGCGTTGTCGTTCTTATTGTGAGGGGAGTAGAGTTGAAATTTGCTTAAAAAAGTGGAACTATGCGACGTTTCTGAACTTTAGTGTTTGGTTAGGATCGATCTGCTCTGAGGAGACCAGGCCACGTCAGATATTGGGAATGGAAAATTCCTTATGTGCTTTGTGCACGTTTCACTTATAAAGGATCTTTATATCAAAGGGATTTATATTTAAAATATTTTTAAATCACATTAATTACTCATTTATTTTAGTTACGATTACTAAAATAAACGAGTAATTAATGTGTTGTTTGAATGTTTTTGTTATATTAATAGTATAAAAACAAGATTGAAATACATAACGTTTTGTAGAAACTGGTAATATCCGTTTATAAAACGTTGCTGTAATTTTTGTCTAAATATACTCAAACAAATTCTACAAAAAAACATTTCCGAATCAATGAAAATATATGCTACTTTGCAAAGGTTTGAAAGTAGGCGGTAAATATGAAATATTTGATGTTAAAGCATAGCTAATGTACTAATTTGTTTAAGTATTGACTAGTATGATTTAATATTTCAGAGAACGCGCCTATGTCATGTCCGAACAAAGGAGAGCTTATTCGTTGTTTTGAACGCGCCATAGGGCGGCGCCCGCCCAGGCTTAGAAACTTTGCAAAATGAGTAATATTGCTGTATATTTTAATATATATCATTTTCCTTGTTGCCGAAAAGAAATGCTTTTGAAATTATAAAAAATGCTTTGTTGTAAAGGTTTATATAAACATGTATATCGTTGTACGCTTTTCATTTTTTGAATTTAATAACTTAAAATCTCAACTGCATTAGCAATATCTATCACTTTCTTCTCCGCAATACGAGTATATCTATTTTTAATAAAGCAATGTTACATTAATAATTGTTGGTGTCGCATATAATAATGATTAAATTTGTGTTTTATATTTATTGTTGTTAAAATTTTACTTATATTCGCTAGTTTCTCAAACACTGTTGTAATTAGATAAGAAATTTGATTTTAATTAGTGTTTTCTCTTCTTTCGTGTGAGGAGGTGGCAAGAGAGGAGTTGGTTCTCATGACTAAACTTTGGCGGACCGCAGCTCATCAAAATCCCATTAAGTTAAGAAAAGACTAGGCATAGACAACAAAAATATCATATTTATGAAGTATACAATGTTATTAGACATTTACTACAAGTATTCGTTACTCACAACAAATAACCTGCCTCGTACGTATAGTTACAATAACCTAACAACAACGCACCTCGTATTTCAGTATGGCTTTCTGATGTAATTAGGTTTGCTGACATAATATTCTTTACACATTGTATAATATAAAATCACCATTGATGAGACCCTGAAGATTGCTTATACCAGAGTTCCCCAAACTTTTTTGTGTCGTAGACCGCTTGCCATGTTTTTCCGTTTTGGGTAGACCCCCTACTTACCTGATATTGATTTCCTGTAAATTTCTAACTGTAGTGAAGTTTAGTGTTAAAAACTTAAAGTAAAAACACATTTATGTATGATGTAAGTAAATAGGTACTATCAGTGTATGTGTTGAAATCCACTATCGTGGACCCCCATTTTCATTTCATGGACCCCCAAATGTTTTTTCGCTGACGTAGACCCTTGCAGGTTGTCATAGACCCCTAGGGCTCGATATAGACCACTTTGGGAATCTCTGGCTTAAACAATGTTCCTTAATAGAATATTTTTTTCGCCGTAAACTCTTATTTTCAAACGACTTCAAAACAGGAGGAGGTTTTCAATTCGACTGTATTTTTTTTAATGTTTTTTTCCTCGGAACATTCGAGTGAACTGAATTTGATGATTTCTTTTTTTATTTGAAAGCTGGTGCTTCCCATGTGGTACCATATAGATGACTCCGTGGCGTAGTTGCCAAGGTATTGGCTTCGGCGTCGGGGGTCGTGGGTTCGATTCCCACACGGGACAACTATTTGTGTGACCCACAGATAATTGTTTCGCATCTGGGTGTTTGTCCGCGTGAAATTTATGTTTGTAAAATTCCCTTACAACACAGGATACTGTTATCCTAAAGTAAGGGCAATGTTCTCCAAAAAAAAAAAAACATTAATTTCATTGGTTGGACCTTCAGTATCGGATATCCTTAGGGAACTCCTGAAAATCAATTATAAAATGAACACAGAGCGACAGAAGTCGGTTTTGTTTTACGTTAATAGAAAATTGACTTGTATAGTGTACCGTTGCCGTTTCATATTTCCGTGTGTATTATACGATTGTA